TGCATCAAAATGGTGGGTTAGGATTTTTCTTGAAGTTTCATACTTTGCAATGTTTTTTAAAAACTGCGTAAAATACATTGTATTTTCGGATTGGTAATTATTGCAAATAACGAACCACAACTAATAAAATATGGTACTTAATATCAAACTATGACGCGCATGTTTACAGCACTTCGTTACCATTAAGGCGAGTGAAAAATTAAATTATTCAGAGTTGTAATGACAAAGAAATATCAATTTATACATGGGCTACTGTGGCAGAAATCGTAATGGAGAAATAAACAGTTTTTTTTATTTCCCACAATGATCGACCGCTTGTGTGCGAAAATTGGTAAAATGTATGTGAAACAGCCACTGTTAGTACTGTAGTAGTAGTACTTACTGCGACACATCCATGACTAACTGAAAACCATTAAACACGCAAAATCTTTTTGTGCACCTCAAGAAATTGTGAGAAATTACTAGGATTGTGCCGGCAATTTGATTCGAAATGCGCGAAAGCTGTGTACTGCACGACGTCACTAAGCTATGTGTCAAGAAACCCGGTCCCTAGTATCGAGGTATGTTATTTTCAACCGCACGCCAATTTCAACTATCACTGGCCGTTCAAGACTGTAGAAAGGTTTGTGCTGATAGATTCTGGCATAATGAATACCATTATCAGGCTGGTTGTATTATGTATCTGACATCATTAGTAAATAGTGTTTAAAGGAATAATAGGTCCATTGATTATGCAATGTTGACGAATGCTACGAGTAACTGGCAGCCTTGTGTAGTTAAATAAGTTACATTACCTAAGCCAAAGCGTATTAGTATTGTCCAATACTCACTGCTTTACTAAGAAATTGTCCCAACTTGAAATCCGGTCAATCCAAATAATCTGTTGTTTACATTTTGTCAAACCGCTGCCGGCGAAGCGGGTGTGATACAGATTTAAATAGTGCACCGGACAGGTGGTGTTCGCACGCATTGCTCGGCCGTGATGCAATGCTATCATCGTCAGGGCTGTCCACGTGCGTCCGTGATTAGTACGTGTGTTTTACTCTATTCCCATGTTTAGTCTGTGGCCATGGTTACACCGCTGACACCTCCGTTTCACCTGGCATCCAAAACATACGGGCCGCACAAATGTTTACGTCATCGCTCGACTCCTGGATGACATTTATGGCAAGTAAATGAAAGTCGATACATATCAACAACCGATTTCAAGTCTTGTTTGTAATGTTACCAGCAGTGATATTGGACAAACTAATACGCGTTTGGCTATAAGGTAATGTACTTATTAACTACACAGGGTGCCAGTTACTCTAGCATTCGTCAACATTGCATAATCAATGGCCATATTATTCCTTTAACTACACAGGGTGCCAGTTACTCTAGCATTCGTCAACATTGCATAATCAATGGACCTATTATTCCTTTAAATGGCCACGGCTTACTGAACACGTACACGTGCAATCAAAATGCTTTGAAGGTTCACATGCATCCGTATATGGAGAAATAAGTATGTACAGCTATGGCACCTAGCGTTAGCCATCGAATAAGAATGAAAATGAAAAATAAATGAAATTTCGCATAAAATCTTAAAGTGATTACGTCACCGTAAATAGTCAAAGTACAAAAATATTTCCACTTTTCTACGAAATGTAAGTAAATTTGTTCACTTTTTATGGTTAAATTGCTGCATTATATTTCCTATTTTTAGTATATTGTTCGATGTAAACATACACTCGTGACTCATACATAGCCCATAGGAAGCAATTAATGTCAGGATCATAATATCAAATAGTCCCGATCTTTTGGATTTTTAACAAGTTAAGAAACAATCTTATCAGGTAAGAATTTGACGATACATTTAGTCCCATTAGTACTTACTTTAAATGTAAAAAAATGGCAGCAATTTTTTTTTACAAATATACACCATAGAAAATTTGTGATGTAGTCAATTTAATTAGTACAGCAAACAAGTTTACAATGGCTAAACATCCATCACCTCAACAGATATATGTGATCCCATGAAGTTTGATTCGTGAAGAGCTGCGATAGCTGTCTTTGCATCATCTAATGAATCCATATGCTGCAGTGAAAATACATAAATGTAGAATGTAGAAATTGCAACATTTGCTACACTGCAAACACTAATATTTCTGGAAGCTTTTTATAGGACATTTGGTCATTTAGTATATTATTTCTACACTGTCTGGTAAATCTGGTCATGTCACCGGATACTTACAAACTGCTGGCACTGCAGGTCAAATCAGTGTATGTACATTAACAGAGAAACTATACAACATAGATGAGGTAAATAGCTCCACACATGCCATACATACACACGCTAATCATCCTAATCAGTAATGCTTTTTAGAATTAGGAAAGCAGAACATCTGACTGCATTAAGGTCCTATATATCCACAACTTAAGTTTACTTTAAGCATGTGTTAATATACAAGACCAGCTCACCACAAAGCCATAGTCTTTTATGATGTCACATTCTACCACTTTTCCATACTTTTCAAACAATGCGAGCAGGTCCAACTGCTTACAGTTGGGCAGGTGGCCGACGAACAATTTTGTTGGCATTGTGAAATCTGAAATGAATTATGAATATATAAATTTCAACAAGAAATGTGCTTTTTGAAAAAATACAAACATGTCAAAGAATCTATTCAAATTAACTGTATTGATCATTTTAACTAACATAGTATATCTGATCACATATTATATTATTGAAATTTGTAATGTACTTGTAGTAAAATCAGACACAATGACAAAGTTTTCACAATTTACATTTGCAGTGCATATAGTAATGAATATTCACATGACAATAATGATAGAACAGGGTGCGAAATTAACGGGAATCCGGAGTCAAATACTCCCCGATTTACTGTCGAACTCCCTGATTTGACATATGCAGGAGTCCGTGCGACTCCTGCAAAAACTCTGCCATACTAACTAGTTCGTTCAGGAGCACGTGCAGGTCGCGGAATTACCGTATTTTTTCAGCTAATGCCCAAAGAAAATTTGGCAGATGTGCAACCGCATGAATCTTAAAAATAAAGCATATGCATTATCGTTCATTTTGAACCTCAGACTGCGGACTCCCTCTTTTTGAGGGTAGGGAGTCTGTTGGACTCCTGTGTTCAAAAGTTAATTTCTACCCCTGTAGAATATTTAAAATTTTAGTTTTACAAATATGATTTAATTGAATGATATATTAATTTACCAAAGCTAGAAGACTGCTTATAGTTATAAAATGGTATAATATAATGAGTGGTAAACTGTTAATCGCAGCAGTATTTATATGTCGTTGTACGGTGCGTTTAGTATTTGTACCCGTTTGAATAATCAGTTTAGTGGTGAGGGCGCCACATGTTTAATTCCCACGTTTCATAGCGTACACTTTGTATGTAAAGCCTGTTTTGCTTCGCGCGTACACTACTGTCGGTGTCACCGCTACTGTCGGTGTCACCGCTACTGTCGGTGTCACCGCTACTGTCGGTGTCACCGCTACTGTCGGTGTCACCGCTACTGTCTGTCCCATCGAGCGTCGGCATGCCAAAATGTAAGTTTATTTAGTTCTAACGTTCTACTGCAGTGTATATTTTTAGTTTTCCACTGAATAAACTACTGGTCGACAACGAGACCTTCTGCCTTTCGTCTCTATTTGATGACAGTAAAATGAGAAATATACAAAGTTATTAGTGCTAGGAAGAGGTCATCAACATGGCATTTTTCCACTTCGGTACATTTACTTTAATTTCTCACCTAGCTTAGATCTACATAGAAACACTGCAACACTGCATCTACTTGGCAATATTCCAAATTAAATGTTGAAAAGGGATTAGCATTCATACATAACCAATGTTGGTGTTTAATACAGAAAGCAGTATGTGTGTATGTGTGTAAGCATTTCGTAGTTTGCATTTCCAACTTACTACTTGACACTTTAAGCCCAGCTCTCGAAATGAATGGGCCATGCTTCAAACAATCCCTTCAACCCTTGTGGAGAGCATTTCTCCCCACGACTTATAATTATTATCAACAACACAGTATATAATATGAACCACGTCAATACAACTATATATCGCGGATATTTAGAACGCCATGTAACATATTACCTAGGCCAAAATATGCTACCATTGTTCCAGCGCTAAACTTGCTCAGCCATTTGGCGAGAGCGTTATTGTTCAGCAGGTACAGCAAGCAACGCCAACGGCGCCGCATCATTACCACGCATTTAAAACTGCCATAAACCGACTATTGCCGTTGTAACTATACATCTAACCCATACTACGTTGAACAGGACTGCAGATGGATCATGCTACATATATATTTATAAATACATATTCGTTAATACCACTTATATCTACAAAAATATAACACAAAATCTTACTTTTCCTTGTCACCGTTTCTTGAATCGTCTGAGATGGTCACTTGTTTGTACAAATCTGACCTCATGCGGTGGTGCCGCCATTATATGTTAAAATAACTATTATGCATAGCAGCAATGTACACTAAATTATATCATCTAGCGTAATTAATAACTATGGTTGTTCCAATACAAACAGTATCTAAAATGTAAACATAAATACTGATTTCCTATAACCTACTCTAAAATTGTCTTTTAATAGTATCTTGCTATTTTTCCCACAGATGTCAGGACGAGCGCAATGTATGCTGAGTGATATCCCATAATATTAATAATATATTATGCATGTAACCCATGTAACTTCATCGCTATACGGGCAATGTAGTGGCATAGATCATCGTGCAATAGTGCATAGTGGCAGTCATGTCGTCGCATAGATTCATACTCGATCGATGTAGTGCATAGTTGAGCACAGTGTTCCACGATATTCCACGTCCTCACATCAAATGGACATCATTGTGATGCAGTCCGAGGACACAATTTTAACACTAACCATCCTTAATAATAATATTATATATTAGCAGTGGCTACGCGTCGCGGACCGGTTCGCCTAGCCTCCAGGCTACGCGTCCGACATACCACTGCACACAGTTGATCGCTGCGACTCGCGTACACGCATGATTGGCGCAACGGGAGCTCGCTGCTCGTCTAATCCTTTCATCCGTCCTCGTCGTGCGCTCCTTCTCTCTCCACGCACACACACAGCGCACAGCATGCTCTCTCTCTCGTCTTCGTCGACTCTCTCTTCTGCTCACACACAGTCACGACTCTCTGAGGCTCTCTCTCTCTTTGCTCTTCTCTCTCTCTGCCGCCACCACGCACACACAGGCTGAGCCATGTTCTGAGGCTCTCTTTCTCATCTCTCCTCTCTCGTCTCTCTCGGTCCTCGTCTCTCTCTCCTCTCTCTCTCTCGAACGCATACAACACCAATACCACGCCACGTTCCCATTCTTCTCTCTCTCTCATCTCGTGCTCTCTCTCACACAGCGCACAACGCGACACGCACACCGCACACGACACAAGCACACACAACAGCGGCAATCAGGCAAGTGCGCCCATGCTGCGGTAAATCATGCGTTGTACCGTGTCGCAAGCTCATGTGTAGATGGATTGTCCGGAACGCGTAAGCCTAGGGGCTCCTCGTCGCGGAACGGCGGTCGCGTAGCCACGGCCTAATTATTAATAATAAATTTATTAATGTATATGATTAACCGCGACAGGCCTGAGGCTGTGTGAGCTGAACGTCAAATATCTCTAGAACCTAGCTGCTAGCATTGTAAATGTAATTTGGTAGGCAATACCGGTACCCGGTTTCTTGGAGCATTACTAATGATGTACCGGGCGTACCAGCTGTATACTACTAGTGACTATCGATTACGATATACGATGTTCTTGTCCACGAATGTGGGAAAAAAGTTTGGCGCCAACATGGATATTACGACTTTTTATTGTCCGAGCATTCGACACCTGTTCCGTGTTCGTATGAAGTTTATTCGTTCCGATGCAGTTGTTTCACATGCGCTGTTTATTTGTATCTACTAAATGTAATTGTAATGCTAGTTTAGGGAGGCACTAGCTCTGTACTATAGCCCGCGGATGCGTGCCGCAAGGCTCATAGCACATTCTGGCATAGATGTAATCTAATCGAAATGTCCAAACTGATGTGACCAAAAATTTACCCCAAAACGTTAAAATTATCGGCTTTTAACAACTTATCTATCACATGGACATCTGCACCCATCTTTTTGAACACTTCCAGCAACTTTACAGACACCAGGTATTTATGCTGTTATTCCTCAAAGTCTTAGCACTACTGTGTTTTGTTTTCAAATGCGGTTGCTCTGGCTTATGTGTGCACGCGTGCTCTTCTCAGTGGCTAGAGACTTGTGAGGAATAACAGCATAAATACTGGTGTAAAGTTGTGGCAAGTGTTCAAAAAGATACGGTGAGGTGTCCATCTGTTGATAGATAAGTGTTAAAAATCGCCCCGATCATTTTACGTTTTGGGGGGATAAATTTTTGTGGTCGACATGCAGTTGGGAGCCATTTGGCTTAGTACTATCATTATGCAGAGATGCGTAGTAGGCCCCTTGGGGCGGCAGCGATCCGCGGGCCTATAGTATTAGAAGCTAGGGGAGGGCACCCTACTCCGCCACACCCTACCATGCCCTTAATTCTCAGACACTAACACGTAACTATAAAACCAACCGGCGTCGGTTTCGACTTATATGGACGCGAGTGATAGTACGCAAACACTATCTATGGTAGTATGATCACATACGCAATGGACATTGTGTGCAGGGGCGTCACCAGCCGTAGGGCTGTCGTTAAGCAAATCGCCTACGAGCCCCCAGCACTATAACCCCCAGCCTAAAGGTCACACGAAATCATCAATCTAAAGAAATAGCACTTTTGAAGGCGTCGTAGATTTAAAAATTGTCTGGGGTGAGAACTCCCCAACGACCCGCGGCTTCACGAATCCTTTTGTGATCATGCCGTCGCCGTGCGGCATTGCTACGTTAACGAGCGCATGCACACATACACTGGTCGGCACTGAATAGAGCATCAGAACAGGTTCTCCGATGTCCGCGACCAATATCCACAGTCGAAAAAAATAAACACCTACAACCCTAGTCGCCGTACAGATACAATACAGGCTATCAGTTTAAGTTTGTAGTGCTGCGACGTACCTGGGACTATCTAATAGTAATAAGTAAGCAAGTGGCCGGCAGAGCGACAGCGCTCACATCTGACGGCAGGTGTTCTGATGCTAAACTGGCCACGAGAAAACGAATCGAAGAGCACCCTCTCCATACGGCCAAGTTTCGGCCTCTCGCTGTTGTCTCTCTCATTTCTTTCTTTTTCCACTCTCTCGCTATTTGCTCTCTCTCCCTTCATGCTCTCTCTCCAGTCGCTCTCTCTCTCGGCTCGGATCACGACACTCTCTCTTTCTCTCTCCTCTCTCGGCTGCCGATATCCACACATCGTCTCGNTTATTAATAATAATATTATTAATTATATGATTAACCCGACCAGGCTGAGGCTGTGTGACTAACGTCAATATTCTAACCCTAGCTGCTAGCATTGTAAATGTAATTTGTAGCAATACCGGTACCGTTTCTTGGAGCTAACTAATGATGTACCGGCGTACCGCTGTACTACTACTAGTACTACTACGATTACGAATACGATGTCATTGTCACGAATGTGGGAAAAAAAGTTTGGGCACAACATGGATATTCGACTTTTTATTCGTCCGAGCATCGGACACCTGTTCCGTGTTCGTATGAGTTATTCGTCCGAGCAGTTGTTTCACATGCGCTGTTTATGTTGTATTACATAAATGTAATGTAATGCTAGTTTAGGGAGGCACTAGCTCTAGTACTATAGCCCGCGGATCGCTGCCGCAGGGCTATAGCACATTCTGCCA